CCACCACCACCACCACCACCACCACCACCACCACCACCACCACCACTTCTCATGCTCCCCTAACTTAGTGTTTCTGTAAATGACAGTCAATTGCTCGATTCTGCTAACCGATGCCGCAGTGGACAGTAGAGAAAGGTGAGTAGGTTTAAAATGCACTACCTAATACATGCATTATTGACTTCTTCGGCAACGACCAATTCACCTGTTCACACCATCTTCTTCCCCTTATGCTGTTTTTGCGCTGTTAAATTAACTTCAGAGACGGCTTCTGCTCTGGAAAAACGTATACAATGTACATGTATGCGAAAAGAAGTTAAGTAAAGACATTTACGGCATGGTGACGGGATAGAATCAACGCACTGCCTACTATTTACTTGATTATGAGACATGCAAGTATTTTGAGGTCAAATTCCAATGCCTCTTAACAGCTATACCTCTCCACTACACCAATTCCAATTTAAACAGTGCAGTAAAGTATTATTAGGGGCATCAGGTATCCACCTGATAAAAACGCGACTTTCGGACATTAACCACAGAAATGCTAAATCCGTGGTACTTATTTGATAGGTAGTAGCGATAGTTTTATACAAATTTGACACGAAGATTGTACAACGGGGTGATTTAACAAATAGATTTTAGAAGACAAAGGGCGACAAAAGGGAATGTTTTATCAGTTTCTTGACATTTCATACTACAAACAAAGCACAGAAGAAATTATAGAACTAAAACATTTGTCACCAGTCAAGTCACGTAAAGAATGAATGCTGTCCATCACAACCTAACTTACAAAGTACAACCATTGTCCACCATATTAACTATTACAAGTCTCTTGGAACATTGTCACGTGGTCCCGATTTTCACGTAGTGGGCACTTTTGAAGGAGATAAACAATGGATCAAACAGGGAATTTAAATCGACCCAATTTCGCATTACAGGAACCAGTGATTAGTGATATTCACTAGTATGATGATTCTAGTAACAGTACACTTTTACCAACATACTTTCACGCGAAACTATTGGAGAAACAAGAACATTTCACAGTTAACACGACTAATGCTGATCAATTTCTGGAAATTCAGAGTTACTCAAAGCAGCTCAGACATTCTGACATTTCACTTGGCATGTGCTGGCTGAATCGGATTGGGTGAATTCATCCATCAACAATACTTTCATTTCAAGCATAAATAAGGAAAAGCATCACATGGAAAAACCACTTGGTCTAATCGCACTGAAGCAATAGTTAAAAAGTAGTAAATTTTCATCGACCGTTTCGGACCGGTAACATAGACCTTTCAAAGGTGTGATAAATTCCTGTTAACGCAACCCTCAAGCACCCAGCCGTAACAAAAACGATTTTGTTAAATGCCGTCGCAATAATTTACTAACGATCGGACGCCTCTCCGTTTCTGTGTGGTCCAAATCGAAATTCAACCTAGGAGCCAAATCTCCACAAATTTGAGGCATTTTAGTTGAGCAAATTAACAACTGACAACTATACGCTGCTCACTAATGGTGATCAAGTTACCTATTATTCACAAATTTCTCTGTGTTTGGGTATTCGTTGTATCCAGAAGTCGGAGAGTAAGAGTATCGCAGCATGAGCACTTTCATCAGTATTAAAACAGCAAGTAAACCGAGGTATAGACATACGAGAACAAAGACTAGCGCAGCAGGACACCCGTACATGCGTAACTCCAATAGCGTTAATGGAAGGAGTGGCCAAAGTACTAATCGTTTTAGTTCAATAAAATTTTAACACCAACTTGAAGCAATGGAAGTCTAAAAATGGCGCAAAATTGACGTGTATGAGCACCGATCCAGTCTGCACAATGACAAACTAACAATGCTAAACACATACCTCGCTAAACAGCAGTAAAGTAAGCAGTAATTGTCAGTAAGATTAAAGCGATGCAGGGTAGCATCACTAATGAGAGGTACATTTTCGGGGCAGTAAAGAAATACGAGCTAAGGCATACTGAGGCCTTGCCAATTGAAACACACTACATCAGATTTGTGAAATATTGGTACAACTTAGTGGATGTGGGGAAGCATTAGATCAATAAATGATGGTATAGGAAATTAAGGGAACGATAATTTTAGACACAAGACTGAAACAATTTATCGCCCCAAACTATGTAATGAGACTATTTTCGAAGATAAGGCAACAGACGCGACTTGGAGATTTTACACCGACAACGACTATTACAAAACCGCATAAGGGCACCCTTCGCTAATATCAAAGTACCACTATACTTACAAGGCACTTCACATTGAAAAACACTTTATTATGGGGAAACTGACAAATTAATTAGCAGGGTAGGAAGGTGTTTGATTCCTTCCTTTTTCACGACGCGAACAGAGAACTGATCGTTGTTAACAACAAATCGTTTTTTCAGCTTGAGGACGCAATTTTCCTGAAGTTGAAAGGCACTGTCGACGCTCATCGAAGGGTCGTACTGGCTATCCAGAATTCCAAGAGTAACGAAGACGCCATGACCATGTACAGCATACGGTTCATTAATCATGGAAGC